GGAGAAGTAACTATCCGTCCACTCTATAGACGCGACTAATTGATGCGTATGAGCAGACGCCTCATACCATTCAGATATATACACGTGTCCCACATCCAACGGCTCTCCTCACCTATAAATACCCTATGCTTGGTAAGAGGCAAATGTAATGAAACTCTTACTACTTAACACTCCATAGCAAGCAATTATATATTCTCCTCCCCACTATGTTGCACAACCCTAGTACTATTCCGATCACCTGAGCCTAACTTGACCGTCGGAGTGTATACGGCCGTCACCACTCCTACTGATTCCGACTGTGTGCATCTGACCGTGCGTTGATTGTGCGCAGGGAGGGATAAGTGGAGTGGCTATCGGTTGGCCACGTGGAGGTTTCAATTTCCAAGGTCAACAGTAACAACTAGATTATTTATCCTTTTCAAGCTTTTACTGTTTTCTTTTGAATAGAATCGAACGCTGCTTTTTATTCTTTAACTTGTCGTTAGAGGTACTTGCTAAGTAAGTACTAGTTTCGACTAGTGACCTTATTGGATACAACGCCCGCTTCATGATCATAAGACTTATGCAGTTTGAATGATCCCACTTATTCGAGTCCTGTTCTATTAGTGAAACTCTTTTCATAAGAGTAGTGGATTGTTAAGTTCTTAACACAAGGTCTATACCCATGCCACCAGGAACGATACAAACATTCTCTTTCCAACCCTTAAACTTTAATTCAATCACAGAAATTAAATAGATGTTGACAGATATTGCAGAAGTAGATGGATTAACAGAATAGAGAACCTAAACCTAAATAACATGTTCACATGAAAATTCGTATTGGACAATCAATAATTTCAAATAATGGTGGGCCTTTTCACGAGAGACAGAGCACAATATTAATATGTAGCCTTTAGACAAAAATCCCAACTTGTAAATAACACTCTTAGTGTAGTAATCAAATATTGATAATAAATTTGGTCAAACATCAAATTTATCTTTGAACTGACTCAATGGTCACATAATGAAAAACTTTACTATTGTCACATATTTATTACCACAAGTTTACCAATAATTTGGTCAAATATTGACATTCATTTGGACCGGTAAATATCCGCATAAATTATGTAAACATAACCATTCTAATATTTCAAATAAATTAATTTAGACAATAGATGTTACTTTAGTAACATGTTGTTTCAACTAATCTATTTTAAAAAAATTAGTAATTCAAAATAAATATTAAGCGTCATGATTTGAAATTGATTGTCTCTTTATATTTATATTTATATTTTTTTCTTTCTTTTGTGGCTAAAAGAAAAAAAATATATATATATATATACACTCGAAAATTGGTGCTTCCTAAGCAGTGTGCCCAGATAATGCCCGGTTGAAGCTCAGATAGCGCTGTAATTGCCGTTTTAATCTAGAATTTCCGAAAAACCCAAAAAAAAAATCTGATTATTTTTTGAATTTTAGGTTTAAAAATTCATATCCTAAATTGGAAAATCCAAATTATAACTTTTTTTTAACCATAAAATTCTTTTTTGAAAAATTCCGAATTTCAAAATTTATGACTAAAATTCATATTCCAAATTAAAAGATTCCAAAACTCTATATATGAATTTCAACCATAAAACTCTTCATTTAATACCAATGGTTTAACATGAAGTACACATAAAGTATTTCATTCATCATGAAATACAAATCTAAAGGAATCTGGTTTCTACACATATAGTCTGATTCACACTTTATTTTGATGTCTTAAGCCCAACAATATAATCTTTATTAGATCACTTTGATTTTGGGTTTAACTTTAAGATAACTTTCTATACAATTAAATACAGATGTATGCCTATATGACAAATTAAAAATTTCCCAACAGATTGTGCCCAAGGAACGCACGAGAGCCCGCTATGCTTGATCTCTGCCATAACACAAAATACTGTCAAGTTGTTTGGAAATGCTATCCTAATCGGACAGTAAATTCCATTCAAGACTAAATGCAAGTATGCGACGAATAAGGAACGACAAATAAGGCTAGCATAGAAAGTAATGACGGCCGACAATTAAGACAACCGTTGAGGGTAATTTTGGAACCAGAAGAATATGATCAAGTTCCCATGTAGCATATTTAGCATGATGAATTCAAAATAATTGAATACACAACATTTTCGAACTATTCACATATTAGTACAACTATCTATCGTCCCATTGAGAATGCTTAAATTGGACAATGTGGCTGTGATACATATGTTATATAAATTGACGATCATTATCGTTCTAGATAAATAACAACATTATTCCCCATATTATGTATTCATTTCGTCCCATAAAGATAGATTTGTTTTCATTTACACACTGATTAAAAAAACTTAATTACTATATGTTGAAATTATAAATTTTACTTATATTTTTTCTAATACACGCCTATACCGAATATAGATAATTCATATTTGTTAATAGTTAGGCACAATAATTAACGTATATTAGAAATTAAGACAGTTCTAAATAACAGGTGTCATAAATGATCCTTAATTATACAATTAAGATAACCCTTGAAATACAATATGAACAAATTCCATTGGAACACAACTTTGCCATTAGTAATTCTCCAGGTTAAATGAATTCATTCAATTGTTGAAATATTTATTTATTTATTTAACCATTAACATTTGATCGGTGGAAGTTCAATTGAGAACATTAATTTTAACTTGATGTCATCACCTTGTATAGTTTTTGTTGACCTCGATTTTAGCATCTTCGACATGGCCAGAAAATCCCCGGCCTACTATTTTCATGTAAGCTCATTTCCTACACACTTGAACAAATCGTTAGTTACCCATAGTCGTCTCCGATGGTGGTAGAGGCGGCTGCGAGCAACTCCAACAATCAAATCAATTGACGGGAAGAAATATATATGAATGTGGGACAAACTTAAGGCATAAGCCACTAAAGTGTTTGAACATCGGGAATATATATGAATATAGAGAGAGCAATCTTACAGTACTTGAGAGTTGAAATCGCATTATCCCTATGTTAGTGTGAGTTCTTGGCTTTTATAGAGGATTGGATGAAGTGGTGATCATTGGATGAATAAACGGGTAGTTTCATCTCAACGGTTGATATAATGCTTGCTATAAGAGGTCACATCCATCACTTAATAGGATCTTGTGTGCAGAAGACCTCTTGTGAGAGGTGGCAATAAAAAATGCTTCTCAGGGTAGGAGGCTACTACTTTGCTCATGTGGGCTTCGGTCACGCACGACGCTTTGACTGAAGTGGCGGGTTGCTTCTTCATACCACAAATGGAGTGCAGCAAGAGGCGACACCGGTTCGGTCATGTGTGTCCTCGTCGAAGTGAGATTGAGGCACCATGCAGTGTGGGCCTTTGTAAGGCTCCTGGATGACTACCCTGTAGAATGCTACGTGGGCCTCTTTTTGAGCTTAGATGGCGAGGCATAACATTTTCAACCCAGATATATGCCATCTATTGTTATTAATATTTTCTTTGTCATATTACTTATAAATATTAATTGATGATTCAAGTTGACTATACTCTTTCTCATGCATCATTTTATTCAATGATCGATTAAAAAAAGTCAAGAAATATGATGCTCTTTCTAGAATACATATATTGTAGTATTTTTCTTCTAAATATTTCTTTTATTAATGGCCTTAATCTTGGACATTTCAAGATGAAGAACACTAAATTCTTTAATTATATTCATTTTTTTTTGGTCAAAATAATCTCTTTCCTTTTCAGTTGGAAAACTGACAAGCTGCCCTTTTCCACCTTAAATTCAATCAAAATATCTTGAGAACTAGACAATCAAACTTGGCAACGTTTAGCCATGATTGATGTCCATTATTTGGAGAAAATAGAATTTTGAATAGTGGTTTTTTTAAAGAGTCTATGGTTAAATAATAAAGAAAAGTTTTAAATTTATATGTAAAATATTTTATTGTATAAATATATGGCTGAAAATAAGTATAAAAATTAAAGAGTTTTGAAATAACGATGGTCGAATTAGATAATTATGCCCATTATTTGACCAACTCATAATAAGGATAGTTGCACTCCACCCAACAATGTATACTAAGATTATGTCTAAGAGACTTTATTTGCGAATAGCATTTTATGAATAACAAAGACAATTATTAGAGTAGATTTTTTTCTACTCCCAAATAATGTTTACGCCTAGCCCATTATTTTTCTTTTCGTTTTTATACCATTTCATAGTTGAATTTCGTCAAAGTTGCTCCTGTATAAGAAGCAAGGTATTATAATGTAGCAAGGGAATCTGCAGTTCTATTTTGGCTCTTTATTTGCTTTTTTGAATAATTGTTCATTTTTTCCTTATATTTTATTTATAATTTTTTTGGAAGCCAATGACTAATCAATTTAAATACGATATGAATAATATGAGAAGTAGAGTGTTAAAATTTGTAACTTATTAAATGCAATTATTATAAAGTAAAAATAGATTGTGAGCTTAACTCTCTAAATTCATCAATTTTAAAAGAATAATGCTATTAAACATCACTTATACTTAACCCCTGTTTGACGACCATTATTTGAAACAAAATAGAGTTTTGAATAGCAATTTTTAGGAGAATTTGTGGTTAAAAAGTAGGAAAAAACTTAGATTTACAAGTTAAATATTTTATTGTATAAATGTGGTTCAAAATGAGTATTTAGAAGAAAGAATTTAAAAAAATAGTTGTCAAACATAGGACGGATACTAAACACTAATGATACTGAATAACAATATTCATTTTTAAAAATTAAAATAGAAAGACTATTGGTACTTGTTCTTGCGCATTAACTTTTTAAAGTAGAAAACATCTGCAATTTTCAAAGTTAGTTGTTTCTTCCTAATATGAAACCAAATTTTTTGGTCATCTACAAAGCACCCTTTCCCACAATGTTGCATCTTCACATTATATAAGCATCAATCTTTTCACCGT